TGTATTTTTATTACCCTCTTAAGAGGCTAGTTTAGAGTCTCAGGTATTATTTTCTGGGAACACACACAGTTTTGAAAGCTGACTAAGTTGAAAACTTGTTGTATTCTTTCCTCGAATGTTAGCTTCTAGATAACTAAAGTAAAATTCAGATTTTCTAATGGCTTATCTGTTTCTTCAGCTGCTCACGAATATTAAAAAAAGCAGACATTAAACTGAAGAATTTATGTTAAAGTTACTTTTATGTTTTATTCGATAGGGATAGGGAAGTAAGGTGTTTCTTTTTTCACTTCAGGAGACAAAATAAAGGAGTGTTACCAAAACCTTTAATTATGTCAGGGATGACTGAAATCCTGGTGCTTCTTGTAATGGGGTCACTCTTCGCAACCTCACTATAGTAGCCCAGTCATCCATCGCCCAGATCAATTATTTGAAGACCACTCTAGCTACTAAGGTGTCTTGGAAAGTGGTTTAGAACGAACTCTCTACTCTAGCTCCAGGATAGCTACCTGGGTAAGTGGCAGCAGCGAGAGCCAAGTCTCAGGAAACCGACTCCTCTCCTCTGTAATCTCCAACCCAAAGTTCTTTCCATTACATCTCTATGCTCCAATGATCACCCTGCAGATTTTAACCAATATTGTCAAGTTGAAGTTTGGTAGTTATTGTTTACACCTTTCCCTTCCCCAAGGGGTCTTGGCCGATGTTTAAGAGGTTATTGATTTCCCAGAAACCAAATAAAGAAGGCTGTTCTTTTATAACATATGAAATACACACTTTTCTTTAACTAAATAGGCGGTGTACATGTGACATTGACAAACGGGGATGAGACCAGGAAATGGATTTTGAAAGACTTTGAAGGGGGAAATGGGTAGGACAGCAGCAATCCTATGGAAGAGTAGGACCGGAATGAAAAAGGGAAAAGGAGAAAAATGCCCATCTTTGCCGTCGAGTGGTTTTAAAGTTTCACTAAATGGACACAGGTGGTGAGCAGGCATGCTGGAGACGCCCTCTCATAGGGTCCTGAGCAGTACACCTCTGCGTTTTGATCTATTTGAAATAATACGAGTTTCTCCTATTTATTCTCTTCACATTTTATCCAGCTCTGTCAAACGCCAGTTCTGAAATTTTTGACAGAGTTCTGAAGATTCCTAATTTACTTAGAATTATCCCGAAAAGTCATTCTGAAATGGGGTCAGGAACGCACTTTTTTTTTTTTTCATGTTTGAAATTCCTAACTGATTAATGAGCCAGATATTTTAACTTTCCCTTCTCTCAAGTCATAAGTGAAATCTTGGGGCACAGAATAGAGATTTCCCCAGACCCCAAAGGAGAGAACAAACAGAGGCCCCCTCACCTCTTAACTAACTGTTTCCCACACCTGATTCCCTTTTCTCTCTCCTCAACCCCTCCGGAAGGTAAGAGTGAAATATTTTCTTTATCCAGAGATACTCCTGGAGTGATCGCAGGGGAAAATGTCCCAGCTAAAGAATACAAATAAAAGCTATATTTCAAGAGCCAGTTCTGATCGCGAGAGGGAAAGCTCTCCTCTAACACGTGTGTCCCTAAGTCACTATTACTCAACAGGTCCCCTTTGCTACCCTGTGCACTTCAGCTGCCAAATTGCATTAACCAACTTAAGTTTTCCCCAGTTTTCATAGGACAGTCGTGCCCTAGTTTAAGTAGCTCCCTTGGCCTAATTTCTCTAGTAGCACGGGCGGTGCCTTACTATTGGAGCAAGAAGACCCGGGGGAGCACAAGAACAACCACACCAAGAGGAAAAATGATCGTTGGGAAGAACCCAACAGTGTCCATGCAAATTAAGGAAGGAACACAAACTTTGTCTGCAGCGCTGTCAGAGAAAGCAGCGTGGTCATGAACCCGTCTATGAAAATAGACTAAATGGCCAACCCAGAAGCTGATGAAATATTTGTATGTTTAGGAGATAGAAAATACTGATTTTGAAGCTAAACTAGTGCTACACAGTGGGCTTCACTGCGTTTTTTCGTTGCAATACTATGTCAAGTAGAGAATAACTTTATCCCCAAATGTGTTCCAATTCTAATTCGTGTTAAGATATAGAAACAGTTTTGAAATCAGGTTTTTGAAAGCTATTTTGTAGCAAAGAAATTCTTGAATTTAAGATACCACAGTCTTTTCCTTTATAAAACAAAACCCAAAACGCGTTCCTCCCCTTTCTAGTAAAGTTGGGATTAAGTTGGTTTAAAACTATTTTTTATATAACCCATCCTTAAGAGTTTATTCTGGGCTGTCTCACTTGCTCAAAATGCTGGATATTCAAACCCACCCAAAGCGGCTCAAAAGAGAGTACATGACTAGGATCCAATCTCAGCGGGGTGAACACAGATTTCACCCAAAAGCCAACAAGGAAGGTGAGTTTCAAAAAAGCGAGATGCAATTTGAAATCTTTGACAATTAGTCTTGTTTTAGGAGTGGCCACTCAGGTGTTGCTAGGGAGACCCGGCGATGAAAAAGACACCCCGCGGAAGTGATCTTTTATTGCACTCTGCATAAAGCGACAGTAAAAAAAAGAAAGCTCAGCGTGTGCAGGACCAACAGCTACAAGGTGGAAGTCGGCCAGGCCGAGGAGAGGTGGTGAGGGTCGCCAGGCGCGCCCTGGTCCCAGGTGTCGGATAAGTTCCTGTCCGGCTCTTTAGCTAGCGCGGGGTGGGCGCCCGCTGCGGAGTCGCCCCTGGGGCGGTAATTACGCAGCGTCGGGCGCACCGGCCTGGTCCGACAGCCCCGGCCACCCGCAGAGCCGGGGAGCCCGCCAGGTGGGTCGGGAGGTCCACCTCTGGCGACGGGGACCACGAGCTCCGAGAGAAAGGGCTCGCCGTTCAGGCCCCTCCACCGGGATGGGCACAGATCCTTGCCAGCTCAGGGGGAGCGGGGATACAGCTGGTGGCAGAAAAGTTCTGGAGATAATGCTCCCTCCCCGCCCCTTCCAGGGAGGTGACTGAGGGTGGCACTGCTTTTACCCTGGGCCCCCGCGCAGGCGAGGTGGAAGTTCAGAGACACTTGCAGGTAGATGGTGTTTCCATTTGGGAACTTCAGAACTCATGGACACCCGGCGCGGGGGAGAACTCTCCAAGGGCAAACCGCACACTCTGGGAACTCACAGCGCTGTGGACCCCGAGCCTTTGATTTCGGGGGACAGTGTCCGTGGGGAGGGGCCGGGGGACCCGGCGCGGGCCGGAACTTCAGGGTTCTGCCCAGAGAGCCGAGAGGCGGGCCAGGCGCTGTCCATGGTGCTGGGAGCGCGCGCGGCTTCGCTTCGCTCTACGTCGCTGTCCCCATACCAAGCTCAGGTGTAAAAGTAACAGCTCAGGGGGACCAACCTTGCGGGCGGCTAGATTTTCTGTTCTTGTTCTCCCCGTGAATGTGGAAATCACGCACGTGGCTGTATAATTAAACAGAATCCTAACAAAGTTCTCTTTCTTTCTCCGTGAGCCTGCCTTGCTTCAAAGTAATGCGCTCAGCGATGCTCGGTGCAGTCAGTAAACAGGCGGGAGGACAGAGAAGGGGGTGAGACTCTAGACCTATCTAAAGGCAGTTGGCTATTTCCAGATTTGGTAGAAAATGAAGGCACAGCATGACTTAACCTGTGGGAGAACACGAGTTTATTGAGAAAGCATTAAGAATACATATTCATTTCATCTAACAGATTCTCTAAACTCCAAGCTTGCCAATGGATGCAGTTACATTTTGTCAGCAAAATAAAAGGAGTGATTAGCCTCCTGTCATGTGTATGTGTGCGTGTAGATTTAGAATGGCTGAAATTTCATTCTCATTTCTAAAATGATACAACTGCAATCTTTTAAAACAAATTGGATTTCTTTGTAAAGACAACAGAAAGCAAGCAAACCTGACACAGAAAAAATATTTCAAAATTAGGGTAGATAGCTAATTAGAAACATAATCTACTTAGGTGAGCCACACATTTACAAACATATACAAATGTACATATTATATATGTATATATTTAGGTGACAGACATTTTAGGTAGAATATTAATTATGATGTTTGGAACAAATCAGAAATGTGACAAACAGGAAAAAATGGTAGTTTATCATAATTGTGTTAATCATGAAAACTTACTTAGCCTCAGCAACTTGAATCCATGTGACAACGAAGAAGGAAGGCGACATGAATTCAAACAGCTGACACGATGATCAGCAGTAACTGACAGCATCTCATTTGCTATTTGATATCAAGCACTAGATCAATATTTGTGAGATCAATGCAATTTTAATGGTTTTCTCTGGAAGCTGTATGAAAGCCAAATTGTGACACTCAGTGCTAGGGTTATTTTTAGAGTTGGTTATTCCAGGGGATGGGTGATATTAAGTAATTTATTGAAGCAAAGCAAAAGGGAAAAAAATTCACCACGATAAATCATCAATATTTCTTCAGTTGATAAATCCTGATTATCCAAGTGCCCAAAGAAGGTGTGAACATTTATTGGGAAAAAGCCATTTATTTAATTATGATTTTGGAAAACGAAGAGATAAAATCAGCCTTTGGAAAATTATTTGGAGGTACGAAAAGATGAACTAGATCAGAGGTACCTTTTTCCAACTGGCTGGGATTAGGTGGCACTTGAGAAAAAAAGAAATGAAAACAATAAAGAGGAAAACCTGGGCCTTTCAGCTGGAGGGTCAATTCTCTCACGTGTGGAATTTAGTAGGAAATAACTGATTTTTCTCTCTCTCTTGCAGAATAGAAATGTGTGAGCTCTAGCTGTAACTCTTAGTAATGCTCCCAAAAGGCCAAATGTGCGTGTGGGGGGGTAGTAATTAGTTATAAATAGTGTCTATCATTTTTATGAAAGTTTTTACCTTAAAAGTAAATGTAAATGTAGTTGTTTAACTCAGAGACACAAAAAATCCTGTCCATCTAATTATGTTTCGACTCAATTGCTTATCAACTCATTTTGTTTGATAAAAATGCTAAACATGGGGTTTTTTTTGTTGTTGTTTCTACAGATTCGATTTTGAGGATTTTTCACCCAGAGGAACCCAAAACCTTCAGCTCACCCAATAATTTCCAGGGGAGGTAGATGTGAAGGGGGAGGGGAACATACCTGGATGACCCTTTCCATCAGGGCAGGAACAAAGGTGAGGTGGATGTCACGTTTTTTAGGTTTTAAGAGACAAGCAGTGTCTTTCATTTCTAATTAAAGTTTAATTTAAAACTTGGAGAAATTGATTTTTCACTTGAAGAAATGTGTGTTTAAGAAGTTAAAAAATCTCTCATTAAAGAATGCTCATCCATTTTGAGATAAATACTTTAAAATGATGCATTTCTTAATCCCTTCCAAATATTCCCTTTACATGATTTTGTTGACAGTAGCTGATATATTATTACACACAGATCACTTCAAACAACAAGCATTGTATTATATGTTCTTAAATAAAATTGATGCTGATTTGTTTTTGCAATAAAACGGAATCATGATGAACCTAGCATATTTTCTAAGAACTAAGGACATACATTTCCCAGGATTTTAATAACTCCATAAAAAGTCACAATCTGCATGTCTCTATGCTCTGTGTGGCTCAGATTTGGCAGATTGCCTACTAATTGAAGACACCTACCCAGCTTAAATGAAAAAAAAAATGTTTTTAATGAAATAAAGCCAACTTTACACACATAGACAATACATAGAGAATTCACAGATACAAGTGATTCGGAGTATTTTAAGACAATGTTTATTACAATGCCCTATAGAACTTGAACATCAGCGTCTCATTTAACAGAAAATAAGTTTACAAACATTCATAGTGACCAACATATATTGAGCACCTACTATGTTACAGGCACTGAAGTGACACATATTGTATGTGTTGTCTATTATTTTAGAATGACAAAAATGGGCATATGTATCTCATGGATAGATATGGAGTTACACACTGTGTGTATGTATCCCAATGAGGTCTTTTAAAATATCCCTGAGTTATTTTCAGAAAGGGAATTAACTTTATATTCAATTGGAGCTAATTTGGACATCTTCACGATTAATCATACTTTGGACAATAATTTTTTCCTTGCCTGAAGGACAGTACTTCCAATTTAAAATTTTAGTCCTCCTAAAATGCTGTTATTCTGAAGCCACTTTGAAGTAATGCTAGTGAGTCTAAGATCCAGATCTACTTGTTAATCTCTAGTTTTGCCTTCAAACAGAAATCGGTTACAAAGAACTTGGAAAGATTTTGAATCTATTCAGGAGACGAAAACGCTTTAATTTTCTGAGGAGCAAAAATTCCCCAAGAAACTTCATATAGCTTCTTAGATTTTGCTTAGCATACGTGATAAAACATTGATTGTTGCAGTTTGGTGACCCATGAAATTTGGGGGTTAGTTTTCTCTTCAGACCAGAGCATATAATTATGCAAATACAGAGCTGTCACTGATCTGGTGAAATACTCACAAACACAAGCACTCTGAAAGTGGACAGAAAAGTGAAAATGGTTGGTGATGTGAGGGTGCCATGGTCTGTTTTCCTGCCAAGTTTCTATCCAAGTTCATTATTCAAATTGTAAACTTTTAAAAGAGACATATCATTCTTGAGGTGTTGTTGTCTTTTCACTTCAGATTCTTTGTATTGGTATTATTGCAGGCTGGCTACAAAGTACAGTTCAACATTATTTTACCTATGACAGTTTCCCATGTTACCAGAAGCAACAGCCCTGGGGGAAAGAACAGAATGATCAGGACAGAGGCAGGGCCTCTCTAGATTACTTTCTAGAAACATGTTTCATGTCTGCTTCAAACAGATGTCCAAAAATACAGAGAATAAATGAAAAGGTTTGCAATCCCCCCACCACCACCTTTTATTCTTCCCACAAACCTTAAGAGAAAGTTGCATGGAAGGCCTCCTGGATTACGTAAAAATCCCCTTGACAAGCTTTTTACATCAAGGGGAAAAATACAGGTCACTGTGTGATGTCCACTTAATGGTCAAACTTTCCGGAGTACTTTCTTCCATCTAGCCAATTAAAGCCAACTATATAATATTTGGTGACTTTAACCTTGTGATTCATTTACAATTACTATTCCTCTAAACCTCTGTACTAAGACATAGCAAGAGTTCTTCAGTGTGATCATGCTCTTTGGCATGGAGGTCTCCCAATTGTAAAGTTACCGGGCTGCTGCATAGTTTTAGATGTCATGGAGAGCCCCACTGATGAAATCTGAGAAGGCTCATGTCAGACCACTGACTGCTAAAGACATCACTACATGAAAGATCAGTGGTGTGAAACTTTAAAAACATCGATCCAAATGAATCAATTAAATCAACATTCATCCCTCCTAAGTGTGAGGTTTAAGACTATCATTGTTGCATTTGTGTGTGTGTTTTAACTCGACATAGATTTTGAGATAAACGCTGGAATGCTTTGATGGCTATTTCTATTCTCGAATTTCCATTAATCGACTTTGTGCTATTTCCCTTTTCAACATCTCCCACTTGGTGTACCTTCTTTACTCAGAGTACAGTGCATGACAGTTGCAATGCTTTCCATCTAAAACTGCGGAACAATGCTGATGCTTTAGGTAGGGTGGCTTTAAGCTCTGTGAAGTGTTGATTAAAAACCCTTTCCCAGACTCAAACTGATCTTTTTGGAGATTAATAGAATATTAGATAAAAGGAAGACGAACAATTCAAGAGACTCCCACTCAGTCACTCTATACAAGGAAGGAAGGAAAGTATTCAATTTTTGAAAGCGAATACCTCCTGGAGTCTTTTATTTTACATTATTACAGCGCCTAATAAGTAATCATAAAATAACCACCGCCACTGTCTTCCCCTCCCCCTGCACCTGTATTTCAAAGATGAGAATGTTGCACATTCAAAGACTTTTTTTCTTCTGCAGATGCGTGAGCAGTTTTTTTTAGAATTTTTAAAAGATTTTTGAGTACTACGGTAATCATCTTTCTTGAACAAATTAAGATGCAGGCAGCAACAGGAACCTGTCAATTTACAGTACCAACTATGATTATAACAGGAGACATACATGTGTTTGGATTGGAATTCTAGATAATCCAGAGAAATATGGGGGGGGGGATGCTCTAGTCTATCAGACCAAATAATATAGTTAGCATAGCTTGTCAACCACACTCTCTCAGAGGACTTATAAGATTCTAAGGAAAGAATAGCTAGCTATTAAGTAAGTGCAAGTAAGTTACTTTCAGATTGATCATAATACTTCAAGAAATGTAGAAACATGGAAGCAATTTTATCTCATCAGACTCTTTAAGGAGCACACATCTATTTATAGTATATTATAGATTATTTGATCGAGCCACAGGTTGGTAAAGAGTTGTTTATATTTCCTTGCTTGAGGAGATATTTTCAATAATAAGAAAAAATATCTTCAAAGAAAAGTTAGCTTTGAGAAAGGCGCAAGTCAAATAGTGACCCAACGCAAGTTGAGATATCACTCCGGCAGCAATGACAGTAACAGCAACAGCTAAAGGGACTCACCATTATTCATGTTTCTGCTTTTATCCAACTCCATTCAAGTTGGTGAAGAAATGAACGTCACAGAGCAAGAAAAATACACCAGTTTGTTGGGAAAATTCTTTTTTATTTAAAATGATAAACAGAAATATATAATCGATAAGAAATTCCTGTGCTTTCAAACTTGTTCTCAGACCAACAATACTGTAGCACAGGCTGAAGCGCAGGGCAGGAACTTGAGAAAAGAACAATGATCACAAGGTAGCATTCTACTCCCTTCACAGACGCATGAAAGTTTTACAGACTGAGCAAATCCCATGGAAAGGCATCTTTATAAAGCCCCAAGCAGTATGTGGTTTTCAAGATTTGTTGACTACTTTAAATCTAAGATTTATCAATCGTTCCTTTCTTCCCATTCCATTTGTCTAAGAACTAAATACATAATTAAAGCAAAAAGCCTGCATCCTTACTCTAAATCTCTACTCTCCCTAAAACCTGTCTAAAAACACAAAAATGGGGAGAAGATGAGATCAGAACTATCGTTAACATCTGGCCACCCCCAAGCAGGCAACTACTGCCCATTGCTTGTTGTTAGTCTGGGAAATTTGAGGTGAATATTACATTTACATCAACAGGTTAAAAAAAATTTCACATTCCAAGCAGACTGATCAGTTACTAGTTGGTGGTCTGAGATAGTTTGCTTAGCTCTCACCTGGTGGCCACAGCTCAGATCCACAAGTAGAAATCACATTTACACAACTTAAGTTTGCAAATAGCCCTCTATAGATAGTTAAACAAGCCTTGATAACCTAGTAGTTTTAAAGTCTGAAAGGCAATTAAACAGTGATTTACATTAGCTGGATGCACAAGTTTTTAAAAAGAATGGTGAAGAAGTGGAAGGGAAGAAATAGGTGGTCTGGCTTTATAAACTGAGCACATTTACTTTCCTCTCATTCAGCTGCACAAGCTTCATGAATTCTGGGTAGCACAAGTGCTGATTTAAAATAGCAAGGCTGCAGAATTGGTTTCCTGTGAACACTTTTCTTATAATACTTTGGAAAATATATTCAGTTCATATTAATTCTCAAAGCCTCTCATGGGAAGATGCCATTATTTTACAGAGTTTACGATGACTTCTAAAATCGGAAAGATCGCAGAAAAAGGGTCGGTATCACAGACCAATGCACTGGACATCCTGGGTGTGATACATTTTAAAATCATCCAGGAGCTGGATAAATAGCCATTTTGATTTTTCCTCCTCTGTCGTTTCTGTTTAAGTAACATCAAAAGATATTCTGACATAACCACTGAAAAAAAGGTCATTTTAATTTGTCATCAAATTTTAAGACCTAATTAATGTACTTGTATGACAAATACAGTAAGAGATAGTAAGATTTTGAAAATCGCTGAAGTGGACTTATAAAAACATTTATCTATGAAGGGGTTGATTTTAAGGTAAAATTTTCTGAGGTGTCAGTTCTAAGTATTTTTGGGTACATTTATCACATCTTCAAATAAGACAGGCATATTAATGGTTGAGTATCATTTTTTAAATGGTGAAAAATATTAAATTCAAGTCTTCATCTATCAGAAATCCTTTACTAAGCAATTAAATTCTCCCTGCAACTAAAATTTGACAATGTTAATTAAAAAATATCCATTCAAATGTCAGCAAAATCTTAACTTATGCTACCTCCTATTTTTCACAGTGTTGGCCAGAACGTAGGTTGATTAAAATACTTAAACTGTTGAAACTGTAGGGCGAAAGCCTACAAAGCAATTGGAACGCTAAAAAAATTATTCCACTAAGTCGAGAAGAAAATCTTTCACAAGAGGTCTCTCTCTCTTTTCGTTGGAGATGAAAACTAAAACGATCATTTTAGCTCCCTATAGCCTTTCAGAAAGAAAAGACATCTGAGAGCCTACAGGCTCATTTTTCTGATGGCAATAAAGATTTCTATCCTTAAAAGGCCTAACTCCGTGATAGCGCCTTCTCCTTAGAATTCACAAGCACAGCAGCAGCAAACACAAACTCTCATCACATGAATTCAGGAAAACAGAACTAGAGTGTCCTCTAAATTGCAATTCTTCTCAGGGCACACAATTAAAAAGGAGTCAATTTTAATGATACATTGGAAAGTCCATTGAAAAATGGGATTTTTCATACTTGTACTTAAAACACTGCTCATCATCAGGTTTTGGCCGGAAAAAGCCCCTTCTGTAATTAAGAGACTTCTGTAAAATCTCATATTCAAACTAGCCAGGATTTTCGGCGGTTATGTGGATGCGATCCTTTACAGATCTATGTGCAGTTTTTCTTCTGATCTGAAAATGAAAATAGATCGTTAGAGCGAGAGCAATTTGCACTCCCCAAACGACACAGCACATCACGACATTGGCGTGCCTCAATTTAAATGTGGCTTTCCTGCGGGGGTGGGGTGGGGTGAAAAGCCCCCAAACCACCACACACACAACACAGACTTCTTTAAAGAGAGGCATAATACGCCCTTGGGCGGGGGAATCTATTTAAAACGGAAGTCTGAAGTTTAGAATAAAAGTTTGCTCAGAGGGGGCACAAAATCAACGTGAACGGGGGCGGGGGCTGCGCTGCCGAGGGTTGTAGGACCGCGCGGACGCCGCTGGCCGGGCCGCGCCGGCGCGGGCTCCGTCAGGGCAATTAGAGCCGCGCCGGCCGCGCGGGGCCGGGCGCTGTCAGCCTTAATCTGCGCGCTGACGGGCAGCGCCCAGCCCGAGCTCAGCCCGTAGGAAGCACGACCAGTGAACCCATATTGCTTTGACAGTTGCACTCATCTAGAAATAATGCAAAACGCTATTTAGATGTATACATCACGACCCTGTGCTCTAGGAAGAAAACAATCTAATGAGGGGCTGGGAGTCCGCTCGCCAACACCCAGCAGCGGGAAGACGGGTGGACGCTCGCGCGAGCGCAGCTCCGTCTCGTCCCCTCCCCCAGCTCGCTCGCTCTGCTCTTACAGCTCCTCGTGCTTGATTCGGTGGGAGCGTCGCGTCAGCGCCGGCTGGAGGGAACTGGTCTTGGCCTCAGAGGCTTCGGTAAAGAACTTGAAAATGGAGGGGAAGCTCTTCCAGGAAGTTAGCTCGTGACGGTCGGTGCCTGCGAAGAGCACAGAAGCGGTTACGAGGCGGCCTAGCTG